ATGGATTTTGCACTTCTGGCTCATTATCTCCTGTTTTACTTTTAGAACAGTCCTCATTTGTGAAATTACAGGAGCTCCTATAACTTTTTAATACTTAAAACATATGTTGAATGTTTGAATAAATTTTAGAAGAATCGCCCATTGTTGAAGTCCTCATTCACTCTCAGGTTAATTCTCCAGTGTTTCATTAACTGACTCTTGAATGCATATCTGCTAAGCATAAGATGCTGTGGAATATATAATGATTTAGAAATAGTTCTTGATCTCAAGACACTTAAGTCTATTAATACCAGAAAAAAATTATGCAAAATTAAAGAAGTGGAATCAAAGGATGTAAAAGTCAAAATTTAGAATTTCAGGGAAGTAAAGAGTTTTTGTAACATGGGAAAACGAGATTTCTTCATGAAAGTGGTGGCCTTTGAGATAAGTCTTAAAGAATTGCTAGTGTTCAGTATGAGAAATGGGAATGAAGTCATTCTTAATAGTATGTGGGGAAATGAAGAGACAAGAAAATATAGTAGTTGATCCATGTTGGTTTAGCTGGATTAGAGTGAATCAAAGAGGAACAATAGAATATAAAACTGGAAAGGGTTTGGAACAAATGTGGTTGATCATAGACTATAGGAAAGAAAGAATATGTGGATTTTCCTATGAAGGTGTGTAGTCCACTGTCTGTGGAATTCTCTAGGCAAGAATACTGGAGTGGGTTGCTATTCCCTTCTCCAGGGGATCTTCCCCACCCAGGGACTAAACCCAGGTCTCATGCACTGCAGGCAGATTCTTCATCACCTGAGCCACCATGGAAGCCTATAAAATGTATTTTCCTATAGAAGGATGCAAAAGGTTAATCAATAGGAGAGTGCTATGATCAGACCTTTTCTTTGGTAATATGATTTGAAAGAACTTGAAAGTTTATTGAATTCTGGCAGGAAGAGAGATACCTAGCATTACTGTGAGATTTGAACCTCTTTTCTGGTAGGATGTAGGTTCTATGTCCAGCTTTATGGGAATTAGAAAAAGATAATTTGGAAAATAAGATAATAGTGATTTTGGATGTGTTACAATTGAGAGTGAATTTCAGGTGGAAATTATCTAGCAGGCATAGAAAATGTGAAGCTGGAGCTTTGGAAAAGAGATTTAAAAATAAAGATGTGACAGTAATGATTAAAGAACATCATATTCTCTGATCATTTTCTCTGGTTTAAGATATTTGTTACATTAAAAATGTAATGCTTACTATAATATGTATTTTAGAATTATTTTTATTTTTTATTGCAAATCTCCTGATTTAAAAAGAAATCCCATTGTGGCTTTTAAATTTCTTTTCCATGTTGGATAAATTCTTCTGCAGTGACATCATTTTTACATTTTGTTCTCAAATGTAAGATGATTATGTAATATCAGTTTATATTTTTGTGAGACAGTTATAAAATCATTAGTCATTTGAGCACATTAGAAACCCAATGCCATTTTGAACAAATAATTTGAAGAAAAGGGTTGTTTTTCTCCAGGATATCAAAACACACATTCCTTCAGGGCTGTCGTTGCAAATTCTGTCACTTTATCTGCTTCTTCTTAAACTAGGTGATGACTATTCTGCTACTTACATTAAGGTCAACATCAGCCATACTCCATTCTCTTCACCTGGGAAACTTAAGTGAGACTAAAGTAAGGCTCACCAATGCTTTGATGTTTATATTTTAAATTAAACTTTTAAAATATTTAAAATCACAAACATTAGAAAGCATAATTTTTAAATAAATGTGTATGAAATGAGTTATTTTCTCTGTCTTCAATTTTACCTCCCAGGAGTTAATATTCTTAAAATGTACTCTATATTCTTATCAATGTATTTCTGTGTATTGAGGAAGAATAGTAATGTCTGTTTTTATTTTAATAGTGTGAACTTTATTACACATATTTTCCTTCAATGTTTTTAACTAAAAATTTGTCATTACCATATTTCTTTATAATGTTCTAAGAGAAGACAACCATAGATATGAATATTATTTATTCCCTTTCAGAAGTTTTCTAAGCAGCTTTAAAAAGACGGTTAAACAATGGCTGATTCATGTCAATGTATGACAAGAACCACTACAATATTGTAAAGTAATTAGCCTCCAATTAATAAAAAAAAAATTTAAAAAAATTAAAAAAGAATCTCTACACTGCTTTAGACAACATCAATGAATCCAAACATTATTTGTGGAGAGCTACTAACCTGTGATTCTAAGATTTTCAGTCATTGTTTCAAAACACACATGCTGAAGTCATTCTGTGTGCTATTCTGTTCTGGCCTCCTTCAAATTTGGGGTGATGTAATTGGGAAAAGACTGTTAAAATCTATCTTCTTAATTCCTAGCAAGTTTGAGGAAGTATCAGTGATTTATAAAGGCATTATTCCCAAGAGTTGGGGAGAAACAATATTGAGTTTCCTCTATTTACAACTAGATCAGCTTTTAAAGCTATCCTGATGCATTTGGCCAGCAATTAGAAGAGGGAGGTTTAAAGGCTACTACAAGACATGAGGGAGTGTTAAAATCATATGTAGTTATCATTCACAGGGTCTGCACTGAAAGAATAGAACAGAGATAGTGAATATTTGGCAAAATGCACATTTCCTTTAGCATACATTATAAGCTTAAATCAAGCCAGATGCGCACTCAGACATACAAAGACTAACTTTGTTGCTCCCTGTTCTGTCTTCTGGGCTTAGGTCTTCTTTTCATAACCTGAGATTTAATTCACAGCAGGGGAAACATCAGGAGACATGTGGACAGTCAGATTGGTAGCCTAGAACTCTGCTGAGAGCCTTGCTTTCTGGCAGCTACATCTTTTACTCCATAGAGGCTCTGGCCAGCATTAAGTAGTGTGAAGCCAAAGTGGTGGGTGGCCTTTACAGATCACATCATTTTGTTTGGAGATTTACTAATGACAAAACTGATTGGAGTTACTAAAAACTAGAATGTAATTTAAATAATTAAATATTAGAGTCAAAATTATAAATAGAATAAGATCATTTTAATAGTATCAATAATGTTTAAAAAGTATAATTTTTATAATATTTTGATGTGTCTCAGTATTTTAAACTACCATTCATAGTAATAATCCTATTAGAAACACCAACTGTCAAATTATGGCTTGGAAATTCTATGTTACAGTAGATCTCAACTCTGAACATGTGCTTTTTAGTTTATAATTTGTCATGAACAGATGATTAATACCTATTTATTTAATGTTTTCATTGACTTCCAATCTATCGTTCTTCGATGACTTTTTACATATCTCATGGTGTCTTCGCCTTCCTTTATTTCTTTTCCCTAGAGCATCCCTGTGAGACCTATTAATTGGTCAGCACAGTGAGCTTGAGGATTTTCAACTTGCTTCATGTAACCCATTCTGTATTACGGGGCCCTCAGAGCCTCTGCCATTTTCTTTTATCTGTGCTTTAACTTCAGTCCATATTTTTCTTTAATTTATATTGTTGTACATTGATTCTAAGGGCTTCTCCAGTAGCTCAGCTGTAAAGAATTCACCTGCAATGCAGGAGAAGCACAGGAAACCAAGGTTTAGTCCCAGGGTTGGGAAAATGCCCTGGAGAAGGAAATGGCAACCCACTCAAGTACTCTTGCCTGGGAATCCCATGGACAGAGGAGCCTGGCAGACTACAGTCTGTGGGGTCACAGTTGGGCAGGACTTATTGACCAGACAACAACACATTGATTCTACTCATCTTCAACAAATCCTTTTTTTCCTTCTACTCCATTTGATTTCTCATGCAATCCTTACCCCTTTTCCATATCTTTGTTTTAGTGGAGACAGTGGTCTGCCACAGTTAAGTGTATAGTCAGACACACCTGGATCCAAACTCTGTCTTGGATCTACTCTACTCAATTTTCTTAACTATAAAAGACAACTCACCAGAGTTATCATGAGCTTTTAGAAGTGAACTTGGCAGTGCCTTTGGCCCATGGTACTCAATGAATGCTGTGTAGTCACATGCACATGATCCCTTACCCATAACTCTTACGTTAGATGTATTTTCAGAATTCAGAATTTCTAGGCTTTTTAAAAAATAAAAAGTATACATATTTAATATATTACATAAGATCTTTAACAGGATATGAGGCAGCATTCTTAAACAAATGGGTATTTCATTAGGAAAGTAATTCTGTATAAAATTTCATTAACCTCACATCATTACCTTCCCATCAATTCAGTTGGATAGTACCACCAAATGGGCCATTAAAAAAACTCATTTTTGAGAAATTTTGAATTTTAGAATTGTGGAAAGAGATTGGGATTTTTAAAAGGAGATTCTGCATTTTCTTATTGTGAATTGAAAATTATTCTGTCATTTTTGCTATGTGGCTATTTTCTATATTTCCTAAACATGGGACCACAGATACTTGGCTTACCTCCAGTACCACAGTTCACTCCCTTTTCCAGGTACCCTTACCATTTTACTCTAGATTTTTTTGAGAATTAAGGGAGAGAGTGAAATAAAACTCTTTCCTTAGGAGTTCCTTCACTGGACATAATGAATTCAGGTCACACTGATAAATTTTTTTTTTCATTTCACTGGAATTTATTAGGATGTGAAATGTATAATAATATCTGTGAAGAAAAAGACACTAAAATCATTAGTCTCCATTTCTTCCTTCATGGTTAAAAGCTGTGTCCTCATAAATATTTCAACTCAGAGGATACTTAAGCAAGATTTGTGATTAGATACACTAGCAGTTTTAGGCTATGTGTATTGTTTGTTTTATAGAAATATGTATGGGTGTTTAGAGAAATGGGTATTGTCTTATTGACTGCTTGGCATTGCTTTATTTTTCTCCCACTAATAAGGATCTGTATAGATTTTTAGTCCATTCCTTTCTATTTTCTATTGATTTTGGAGATATGCTATGAGAATAAAAGTAGTAATTGAATCACAGTCTGGTAATACATAATTATTATTCAGAATTAATTCCAGTATTTATTTGTTTTTTTAGTGTCCTACTGAAACCAAAGCAACATTTGGGGTCCACCTTAAGATAGTAGGAGACTGGACAGGTATGTAGAACATAGAGTTTTAAAATATATGCTTTGAAAATAGTAGGTTATACAATAATTTTAATGTTTAACTAATGGAACAACCAACATGTTTAGGAATGTGTGTATGTTCTCAAGCTGTTGTTTTGTTTTCCTTCTTTGCTTGTACATGTTTGATATTCAAGTTTTTTTTTTCCTTGTAAGATGTATTTTTAGAATTGGAATACCTTGGATATCAGTAATTGTTAATAGTGTGTTGTTCATGTGATTGTAAATCATAGATTTCTATCTGCTTGTCAGATGTACTGGCAACAGTGTGAACATTGAAATGTATGTTTTAGTAAATGTGATTTTAAAATTAGTGTATCTACTTTCAAAATATTCAACTCCTAGGATTCAGTTCAGTTCAGTGGCTCAGTCATGTCTGACTCTTTGTGACCCCATGGGCTGCAAAACGCCCGGCCTCCCTGTCCATCACCAACTCCTGGAGTTTACTCAAACTCATGTCCATTGAGTCGGTGATGCCATTCAACCATCTCATCCTCTGTCGTCCCCTTCTCCCACCTTCAACCTTTCCCAGCATCAGGGTCTTTTCCAGTGAGTCAGTTCTTCACATCAGGTGGCCAAAGTATTGGAGTTTCAGCTTCAGCATCAGTCCTTCCAATGAATATTCAGGACTGATTTCCTTTAGAATGGACTGGTTGGATCTCCTTGCAGTCCAAGGGACTCTCAAGAGTCTTCTCCAACACCACAGTTCAGAAGCATCAATTCTTCAGCGCTCAGCTTTTTTTATAGTCCAATTCTCACATCCACACATGACTACTGGAAAAACCATAGCTTTGACTAGATGGACCTTTGTCGGCAAAGTAATGTCTCTGCTTTTTAATATGCTCTCTAGGTTGGTAATAACTTTTCTTCCAAGGAGCAAGCATCTTTTAATTTGCAATCATACAAATCTAGTTCCTGCATGACCTTTTGCATGGCATTATCTGTGTGTGTATGTGTATATATATATATATATATATATATAAAACAACTCTACAGTGTCTTTGGAATGGTAGTCATTTATAATAGCCGATCTATTGGTGATATTTTGCTCTTTTATTGATTATTTTTATTATCTGAGAGGTGCGTTGTATTAAGAGCTGTGAGTAAATAAAAGAAATATTCATTCTTATATTCCCGTGGCCCAAGAGAGTGACTGACAAGTCAGTGATCAGTAAATGGTAACTTCTTGGCTGATTGTTTATTTTGGTTTCTCAAAGGAGAGGATGCCAATGTAAATGAAGAGTAATTTTTTAATTGAGTCCTGAACTAGGAGTTGGTTTGTGAAAACTATAGGGAATCAGAAAAAGGCAGAGTCAGTGTGATCTAGGGCCATAAGAGAAGCTTCACAGTGAAGATAGAGTGTAAGCCCAACTTGAAAATCAGGCAGGTGAAGAGAGAAGGTGACCCATAGCACTGTCAAAAATCGGGCAAGTTAAATTTGCCCTTATTCAAGAAAGGTAAGTTTCTTAAATAAGGCTATCAGAAGTAAAGATAATGTTTTGGGGAATAGTATGGTAAAACCATTTAGGGTCAACCTGATGCAGATCTTGAATGCCTTGACAAGGTGTTAGAACAGGTTAGAGGTGTTAGGGAACATTTGAAGGATTGGAAGCATCATAGGGAAAGTGGGGCTGATGACTTGCTAGTGGACAGGGTTAGGATCCAGTGAAGACTTATTGGTCCTGGAAGGCAGAGGAGAAGGAATCAGTGGAGGAGTGAGGCTGGAAACTGAGGATGTATTTGCAAGCAGGGTTTAAGAAGTTAGTATTAGAAAGGGGGACTAGTTATTATAAAAATCAGGAAAGGACAAGATGTTTTGTAACAAGAAAGGGATATTTTAGAAAAGTAAGTTGAAAAAGTTTGTGTGATACACTTAAAAATAATAGTGTGTATAAAATTCTTTGTCTATAGAAAGAGCAGTCAGCTTGGAGATGGAGATGAGAAGAGAATGGGTAAAATATGCAACATGGGATTTAATGGGCAGATGACGAAACTAATCCAAAGATATTTGACAAGTGATGACCTATTTGGAATCAATGAAAAAAATCAAGCTTCAGTTCATATTATTTATTTGATAGCTTTTGAAAGAGAGTATGGTAGTTCATTGTGAGAAGGATGCTGATGTTGTATAGAAATAGTAATTCCCATAATCCCAGAACTAGTTGATGTAAGTAAAGAGGTTTTTTTGCACTGTTTGACAAATAAAAAATGAGTGAAGTTCTTCTCTGGTAAGAATCCCAATATAGTAAGAATTAACTTTTGCAATGAATGATAATTGATAGAATTCTATATCTGAAGGGAAACAACACAATGAAGTCATAATTTAACTCATCAGGGTAAGAGGAAGTTTATCATGGCTTTTTACCAGCTATTGTTACTGAGTTTCTTCATAAAGTTATTTTCTATTGTCATTATCTCATCATTTATTTTAATTTTTTCTATTAGGAGTTCTTTATAGTTTTAATTTTATCCTCTTTTTTTAATGTACAGTGCCATGGAGGGGGAAACATGCTCATTCTCTTCAGAGAGTTCAGTTCCAGTTAGATGCTTTTCAATTAACAGACTTGATTGGTTGTTGACTTTAGATATTTGTTGATTTGGGGGAAAATGTCAGGCATTCATGCAGAGAACCACTAAATAATTCTGCCACTGCCACTTTAGTTCAGAAAATGTTTTAACTGTCTCATAAAAATAATTATGGAAGGAAAAGTGGAAATAGCATTGCTGAAATCAAGGATTATTTATTTTTATTCTAAAAGAATTGATTATTATGTATTACTCCATATTAAAAGCAGTAGGTATAGAAAATATACCAAAGAGATGCTTAAGAAGTTAAGTAACAGAAGTTTACTTTTTAAACTGCCTGGGAAATGTTTTACTGTAACCAGTTCTTCCCTGAAATATGTTCTGCCTGCTGAGCCACAAGGGAAGCCCAGGAATACTGGAGTGGGTAACCTGTCTCTTCTCCAGCAGATCTTCCCGACCCAGGAATCGAACCAGGGTCTCCTACATTGCAGGTGGATTCTTTACCAACTGACCTATCAGGGAAGTCCGATATGTCCTGCATAGGCAGCTCTAAAGGACAGGTTTGGTGCCACCTCATGGGTCTAATCTGAGTCTAATCCGCTACTCCCAGCTGTGAGAGAACCCAAGAAGTAAATGAAGCAGCTATATGGCACAGGACAAAGAGGCAGCAAAGTTTCCGTTTTGTTGTCCAGCCTTTGGGGCTTCCCCAGTGGCTGTGGTAAAGAATCCGCCTGCAGTGCAGGAGACACAGAGAGGCAGGTTCAGTCCCTGGGTTGGGAAGATCCTGTGGAGGAGGGCATGGCAACCCACTCCAGTATTCTTGCCTGGAGAATCCATGGACAGAGGAGCCTGGTGGGCTATAGTCCGTGGGATCACAAAGAGTCAGACAGGACTGAAGCGACTGAGCATGCATGCTGGTTGCGTCTACTAAGTACGTGAAAGACTCGTTAAGTTTAGAAGACTCTTCAAACCTCTTTAATTCTGCAATTCAGGTTTTTCCTTGAAACGATGATGATAGAGGGGTGGAGAAATCTCTGAGGAGATTTCTCTTTGAACTGAATTAATACCTGCTGTTTTTCTAGAATCAGTCCTGCTTTCCAATTTCAAATGTATGGTTACATTTTGATTGCCAGTTGCCATGATTATCATTCTCATAGTCCCAAATATCTTTTTACTTTCTTCGTTTCTCACCATTGGTTGTTTTAATGGTTTAAGTAGCAGGTTACTCTAGAGAGATTTGACTTTTACTATAAAACATTATATACCTAATATCAACATGTAATTAATCTGAAAATCTTGTCATTGTTCCATTCAGTAATTAATGGGTTGATGATAATTGGATGGACATCCAACAAAAGGCCAGTTGTGTGTATCATATAATGGTTTTTCCTTGAATCTTGGTTATCAATTCCCATCCTGTCTATTTGTAAATCTTGCTGCGATCTAAAGATATGATTAACCTGAGAATTGAGAGCGGGAAAACAGGGCCATGTGACATTTTGGATTTGCCTTGTTCACATGACACATTGACACTTACACTACTGTAAGTAGATAGAGGTCTTGTTAGAGACTGGTCCAAGAAAGAGGTGGTAACTCTCTGTCTCTGTTTTCTTCCACTCATATTAGCCAGGCATGTTTTATACTTCTTCATCTAGATGATTGCTTTTGAAAAGATTAAAACAGAATATGTGTAATATATTCTAAGTATTTTTTTTTTCATTTGGGGGAGCCTCTAGACAGATTATGACTACTCTAAATTATAATAATGTTGTTATTTTATAATGACATGTTCTGGAAAAATTATGACATCTACCCTACCCTAAATATATCTATGAATAGCTTTGGTTGTGGCAAAATGCAAAACAATAAAAGTATTCCTGTTGAAGGACATGCCAAAAAAAGCGATCTATTGTGACTAGAAATATGCTTTTGTTGTGTCTACAACTAGCAAATTATAATGGTTAGTCATTTGTGGAAGACAGCATTTAAACTATTTGTAAATTTTGGCTAATAAGTATTTATTAAACTTTTACTTTATGCCAAACGCTGCACTAGGTTCTATAGATACAACATTGACCAAAATAGACAAGGTCCCTGCTCTCATTGAGACTGTGTTCTAGTCGACAGAGACCTCCCAGAAACAAAACAGCAAATCAATATGTAGTGTGTTAGATAATGATAAGTGCTATGAGAAAAATAAAGGTAAGGGTGTAAGAATGGTGAAGGGTGGTAGTGCTATTTTAGACAGGGGTAGTACTCTTTTAGATACAGACTTTATGAATAGACAGGTAAGTAGATGAAAATACATCAGGTGGATTTCAGGGAAAAGTACCTTTAGACAAAGGAAACAGTAAGTGCAAAGTCCCTGAGGTGGGGGTAACTTTGGATATTCAGGGAAGGCAGGGATCCCAGTGGGGCTGGAATATAGTCAGTGAATGATGGTGGTG